CTTGTAGAGGATACAAGGTGAGAAAAGATCTCACTACCTTGTAGAGGATACAAGGTGAGAAAAGATCTCACTTCCTTGTAGAGATACAATGTGAGAAAAGATCTCACCACCTTGTAGAGGATACAATGTGAGAAATGATCTCACTTCCTTGTAGAGATACAATGTGAGAAAAGATCTCACTTCCTTGTAGAGGATACAATGTGAGAAAAGATCTCACCACCTTGTAGAGGATACAATGTGAGAAAAGATCTCACTTCCTTGTAGAGGATACAATGTGAGAAAAGATCTCACCACCTTGTAGAGGATACAATGTGAGAAAAGATCTCACTTCCTTGTAGAGATACAATGTGAGAAAAGATCTCACCACCTTGTAGAGGATACAATGTGAGAAAAGATCTCACTTCCTTGTAGAGATACAATGTGAGAAAAGATCTCACCACCTTGTAGAGGATACAATGTGAGAAAAGATCTCACTTCCTTGTAGAGATACAATGTGAGAAAAGATCTCACTACCTTGTAGAGGATTCAATGTGAGAAAAGATCTCACTTCCTTGTAGAGATACAATGTGAGAAAAGATCTCACTTCCTTGTAGAGATACAATGTGAGAAAAGATCTCACTACCTTGTAGAGGATACAATGTGAGAAAAGATCTCACCACCTTGTAGAGGATACAATGTGAGAAAAGATCTCACCGCCTTGTAGAGGATACAAGGTGAGAAAAGATCTCACTACCTTGTAGAGGATACAATGTGAGAAAAAGAAAAAAATACTCTCTAATCGATGCTTAATATCAAAGTACAGAACTTGATATCATTAGTCTGTATAAATGTAAAACATACCGAGCTCATTTTTATGAAATGTCAATGTTTAAGGTAACGGTCACTATATATGATATATATATTCCACAAGCTACAATAACAATATCCGTTATTTTACCAGCTTTCTCAGAGCGCTGTTGTTATTAAGATGATAAATAGGATTTTTTAAATACTTTTTACGCTAACAACAAAAATACATAAAAAAAATACCATTTTTTTCTTTTAAAGATGATAAATTACCTATGATTATCACATCAAATTATACCTGTGAGTTACGTGATGAAGATATTTATATTTTACAAACTAAACGCATTAGAACACTACAGAAAATGGCAACAGACTTACCAATGTGGATGCTACACGTCAGATACCACGTTCCTAGATATTAGACGACACACTACTCTGGTAATTATACATTATTAAACCGCGTCAGGAACATTAACGATTATGGCCCTAGAATCACCCAGCCGTAACGGCCCTGGAAACGACACTTGTCATTTGTCTAACATCCACATGGTTACATACTAAATACTTACACAATGAAGCAATGTACTGGAGAGTTTGATAGTCTTATATTTCCAAGTTAAATTGGTGAATATTTACACAAATACACAATAATTGTTCGGTTTATTGAGGAACTATCGCAAAAATTCACACAAAGTGTCAGTACTTTACGTATCTGATAAAATATAATGCACTTTGAAGGTGATTAAACGTAATAAACAGAACTTCACTTAATACAGTTTCTATTTACATCGGTTTTTTCATTACAACATTATTGAATATACTGCAAATATTGCATTTATTATACAGTATCAATGTATGTACAAAGAAATCGTCCTTGGATTTATAAACATAAAACGGAATACCAACAAATCCCTGGAGGACAAACTCCTCTTAACCAACATACAGTGATGAACAGGCAATTCAGTAAGCGTGTAAAATAACCATATCTGCATTAACTATCCAATATACCTATCAGTTCCATTAACAAAGAATTCAAAATTGTGTCGTTCAATCTTAATGGAAGAAATTGATACATCACACTACTTGTTACTATTCTCCTTTAATGACGATGGTATATGAAAATGATATAGATGTATACTAGGAATATATTCACCTACTATATTATTGTATATAGAAACAGGTCGATTAACTTTAAACAAATTGATAAACACGATCCTGAAATTTTCTATGGTTATTTGCACCACATCATCTACATTTTGTCTTTTTTTTTCGATCACTTAGGATTTTCCCAAGTCTCCTACTAGGCTTCAAAATTTAGGCCCTTAGCATCACTGACTAGTCCTAGATTGACGAAACAGCTGTATGATGTAGCATCACTGACGAGTCCTAGATTGACGAAACAGCCGTATGATGTAGCATCACTGACGAGTCCTAGATGGACGAAACAGCTGTATGATGTAGCATCACTGACGAGTCCTACAACAACGTGTGATGTAGCATCACTGACGAGTCCTAGACTGACGAAACAACCGTGTGATGTAGCATCACTGACGAGTCCTAGATTGACGAAACAACCGTGTGATGTAGCATCACTGACGAGTCCTAGATTGACGAAACAACCGTGTGATGTAGCATCACTGACGAGTCCTAGATTGACGAAACAACCGTGTGATGTAGCATCACTGACGAGTCCTAGATTGACGAAACAACCGTGTGATGTAGCATCACTGACGAGTCCTAGATTGACGAAACAACCGTGTGATGTAGCATCACTGACGAGTCCTAGATTGACGAAACAACCGTGTGATGTAGCATCACTGACGAGTCCTAGATTGACGAAACAACCGTGTGATGGAATTTGATTCATTGTCTGGCTCTAACGTATCTAACTCAAAAGTAATAAAAGGTGCTAATTATTTGTGTTTTTGTACAATCTGTGAAAACACATCCACATTGTTAACATTAGAGGAGAATTTCTTACGCTCAGAGATAAGAGAGTAGACGATAGTATCATTGCATTCCAGTTAAAAAACAATGGGCAAGCATGGTTACACAAATATTACAGCGTAACAGTTTCTCACTCTACACAGAAATTTTCATTGCATGACATATACTACAGGTACAAATTCAAACGAAGGTATCGATTGTAGAGGAAAGTGGGAGGTATGTCACAAAGGAGAAGTTCACGGGGATATCTACAGTTCTTAGGTAAGGTCTTAATTCTCTTTTATTTCAACATTACCAATGGCCTATGGAACTTTACCTATATCTGTCTATATATATATATATATTTAAAGTCAAGGGTGGATATCTTTCCACTGTACTACTACCACGTTACGTTTTTGGTTTTTTTTGGTAGGGGGAGGGGGGTATCACATAATTGTAAGTTTAACCCATTACCACATAATTGTAAATTTAAACATTACCACATAATTGTAAATTCAAACCATTACCACATAATTGTAAATTTAAACATTACCACATAATTGTAAATTTAAACATTACCACATAATTGTAAATTTAAACATTATCACATAATTGTAAATTTAAACATTACCACATAATTGTAAATTTAAACATTACCACATAATTGTAAGTCTAAACACTACCACATAGTTGTAAGTCTAAACATTACCACAAAATTGTAAGTCTAAACATTACCACATAGTTGTAAGTCTAAACATTACCACATAATTGTAAGTCTAAACATTACCACATAGTTGTAAGTCTAAACATTACCACATAGTTGTAAGTCTAAACATTACCACATAATTGTAAATTTAAACATTATCACATAATTGTAAATTCAAACCATTACCACATAATTGTAAATTTAAACATTACCACATAATTGTAAATTTAAACATTACCACATAATTGTAAATTTAAACATTATCACATAATTGTAAATTTAAACATTACCACATAATTGTAAATTAAACCATTACCACATAATTGTAAATTTAAACATTACCACATAATTGTAAATTTAAACATTACCACATAATTGTAAATTTAAACATTATCACATAATTGTAAATTTAAACATTACCACATAATTGTAAGTCTAAACACTACCACATAGTTGTAAGTCTAAACATTACCACAAAATTGTAAGTCTAAACATTACCACATAATTGTAAGTCTAAACATTACCACATAGTTGTAAGTCTAAACATTACCACATAGTTGTAAGTCTAAACATTACCACATAGTTGTAAGTCTAAACATTACCACATAATTGTAAGTCTAAACATTACCACATAGTTGTAAGTCTAAACATTACCACATAGTTGTAAGTCTAAACATTACCACATAATTGTAAGTCTAAACATTACCACATAGTTGTAAGTCTAAACATTACCACATAATTGTAAGTCTAAACATTACCACATAATTGTAAGTCTAAACATTACCACATAATTGTAAGTTTAAACATTTTAGGTTGATGATGCTGTTTTACACAGTATGTAGGTACACATGTATTACACTGTTATTTTCCCTTCATCTCCGTAAGTTGCTATTCACAAGTCTTTCGAACAATCATACACTTAATAACTTCATTTAAAGTTCTAGTACTGAATTATATTATATTTGACAGCAGTTGTGATGAAAAATATTTTTCTGACAACATATTTGAAGATATGCTGAGCAGTTTGATATAAATGTATTTGAATTCTACAATCAAATAAATGTTATGCCACTATGACAACAGATATTGAACAGGCTATTTTACAAACTATATTAGTGTGATAGTATATTATTTTCAAAACAACAGAAAATCACAGTCGTCAGAAAGCATTTCTGCATTTGCCAGGATGTCGGATGTTTCCCTATCAAACGGGATCTTTCCCAGGGCCTGTATATCTACTGCACTAAATTATGTCAACATCACTAGATGACAATAGACCATGACTGAACCGTCAATGACACTACAAGTTATGCAGCTGTGATATGATTTTTTGCTGAATATCTTCGAAATTGCAGTTTCCGAATTGTGTAGCAGCTTTAAATCAATTACTGTGTAATTTCAAACGGCCATGCTATATATAATTAATTAAATTCACACCTTTATATGCCAATTATGAAAAAGATATAGCAACAAGGTCAAATGATATTACCCACATGAAAAATACTGTCCATTTAATATGTTTATAGAACAGAGCATTTATAAGGAAAAACCTGAAGCATCACAGGACGACCAAACTACTTACCTAACATATTTGGATCACTGGTCAAATCCCCAGAGGGGTCCAGAAAATGTGGAATAGTGGAAGGAGACACGTCCTGGAGACAGAGGTTAGCGAAATACGCGTTGATAGCCTCCTGTTGGTCAGCGGCAGTAATTTTGTATTGGTCGCTGCTTGTCTTCGGACGTTGGTCAAGATACGACTGTAACAGTAAGATATGATAAGTAAAAACAATACGACAAAATCAGGATAGCAGATTTAGTATGTTGTTATATTAATTATGCCCAAAATGGGAAAATGAAAATTACATAAATAGTTTCTTTAAAGATGAATAGACGGATAAATAAATATTTTTTTGTATATATTAAAAAAATACAGTAGTGGATATCATCTTAAATCAGTCAAGAAGTGGAACAGATATACAGTGTAGTATGTACATGTTTGACAAATAATACATGTGGATACCTTATAGGACAGGACATCAAACAGCTGTTTCGTCCATATAAGACAGGACATCAAACAGCTGTTTCGTCCGTATAGGACAGGACATCAAACAGCTGTTTCGTCCGTATAGGACAGGACATCAAACAGCTGTTTCGTCCGTATAGGACAGGACATCAAACAGCTGTTTCGTCCGTATAGGACAGGACATCAAACAGCTGTTTCGTCCGTATATGACAGGACATCAAACAGCTGTGTCGTCCGTATAGGACAGGGCGTCCGTATAGGACAGGACATCAAACAGCTGTTTCGTCCGTATAGGACAGGACATCAAACAGCTGTTTCGTCCGTATAGGACAGGACATCAAACAGCTGTTTCGTCCGTATAGGACAGGGAATCAAACAGCTGTTTCGTCCGTATAGGACAGGACATCAAACAGCTGTTTCGTCCATATAGGACAGGATCTTACATGCGGAAATGTTCTAATTATTTGTAATATATTTGTAATCTGCACCTTATACTTATATATTCCGAAATACATTAAGAATATTTTCAATAATAGTACATTTTTGTTCCACTGAGGACAAGTAAACAAAACTGTGCGATTTGATTAAATGTTTTCTTTGTCAACAAATGTAAAAAAAAAACATACAAAGTCTACACCAGGTTATTTTAAGGTAACGGTAATGGAACCAGGGACCCTGGTTAATGATTGGTATATATGTTATGATAATAATCAAACAAAAGTGATTGTTTATGAAAGATTTTCGTGTCGATATATATGTGTATTTTATTGATTTATTACGTATTGATTATCCCATGGTGTACATTGTAATGTTGATTGCTATTTTACATTCGGAAACTCACGGGACTGGCCATTAAAATGTGGGCTTTGTACAAACATATATTTATCCTGAGGGATGGTATTGAACAATACATTAAAAATATGACAGAGTGTTTTTTGCTTTTCAAGTTATCGATCAGATGTCTTTGGAGATTTGTTATGTTATTTATGAAAATATCAGATCAGGAAAACAGAAATGGTTGATGTCATAACAAAGCAAAACATCGCTATAGTAAAGACTTAAGATAGAAGTCTGAGGCTACAGTTCAGTCGAGATCCGTCACATTGTCTTACATCTGATGAGAGTGTGTCCGCCAGATGATTCTATTTATGCCTGTTGGATGTTTGAGTGTGTGGATCACTTTGAATTTTTCATTAAATTCTCTCCGATCACTATCTTATCATTAATCAGACTTGTTTGAGAAGGCCAGGTAGAATTAAAACCCGAGCAGATATCGGGTAGCGTAAACAGAAATAATTTTACATACAACATATAATTACTGGAATTTATAATTAGTTGCTCGTGCTCGGTGACATACCGGAGTAGTTATGACATATAATTACTCAATTAACCCTAATAGTGCCTGACTTTCCCATTTGGAAACGAATTAGAATCACCTAATACTTACAAGGAATGACCCGATATCTCAATTTGTTCGCACTCTTTGTCAAAAGAAGTGACCTGTTTACAAAATCGTGTCATACCTAGTGAATTATAAGGCGAACTTCTAAAAGAATAGTCAGTATAGAAAAACCTCGGTATGCCGAGTTTGTTTGTAACGGAGATGGAAGTGAGGTAGCTTGTGGCAGGGAAACATACTCTGACAACCACACGTTGTTGCCCCTTGTCAAGTTAACTAGACATTTTATAATATCGTTGGGTGGTTTACCAATTATCAGTCCTTAGGGTTTACTGATTCACTTTCAAATAAACCTTTAGTCAAGTATGATTTCCAATATTTGCTTGGCGTCAATCTTGTAAATTGATGGTGTATTTTAAATCGTAATCCAGTCGCTAAATACACATATGTTTTGTAATATAATTGAAAATCTATTTGTTATTTGAGCAGTTCTGTTATAACGTGTCTGTGTAAGATTCTTCATATAAACTTCAACAAATATAAGTAGAACATTTAATATTTTGTTGAATGTTTTATGGCTAGAAAAAACACCTTATCATACTACTGAAAAAAATAAAATATACTGTACACTGACACCTTAAAATATACTGTAAAAAAAAAAACCCCTTAAAATATACTGTACACTGATAAAAAACACCCTTAAAATATACTGTACACTGATAAAAAAACCCCTTAAAATATACTGTACACTGATAAAAAAACACCCTTAAAATATACTGTACAATAAAAAAACCCCTTAAAATATACTGTACACTGATAAAAAAACATTAAAATATACTGTACACTGAAAAAAACCCCTTAAAATATACTGTACACTGATAAAAAAAACTTCAAATATACTGTACACTGATAAAAAAACATGAAATATACTGTACACTGATAAAAAAAAACCCTTAAAATATACTGTACACTGATAAAAAAACAGGAAATATACTGTACACTGATAAAAAAACCCCTTAAAATATACTGTACACTGATAAAAAAAAATATACCCCTTAAAAAATACTGTACACTGATAAAAAAACCTTAAAATATACTGTACACTGATAAAAAAAACCCCTTAAAATATACTGTACACTGATAAAAAAAAAATATACAAAATATACTGTACACTGATAAAAAAACTTAAAATATACTGTACACTGATAAAAAAACACCTTAAAATATACTGTACACTGATAAAAAAACCCCTTAAAATATACTGTACACTGATAAAAAAACATTAAAATATACTGTACACTGATAAAAAAACACCTTAAAATATACTGTACACTGACAAAAACATGAAATATACTGTACACTGACAAAAACATGAAATATACTGTACACTGATAAAAAAAAAACCCTTAAAATATACCGTACACTGATAAAAAAACCCCTTAAAATATGCTGTACACTGATTAAAAAACTTCAAATATACTGTACACTGATAAAAAAAACCCTTAAAATATACTGTACACTGATAAAAACATGAAATATACTGTACACTGATAAAAAAACTTCAAATATACTGTACACTGATAAAAAAAAATATACTGTACACTGATAAAAAACCCCTTAAAATATACTGTACACTGATAAAAAAACCCCTTAAAATATACTGTACACTGATAAAAAAAACCCCTTAAAATATACTGTACACTGATAAAAAAAACCCTTAAAATATACTGTACACTGATAAAAAAAAAATATACATTAAATATACTGTACACTGATAAAAAAAAACCCTTAAAATATACTGTACAAATATACTGTACACTGATAAAAAAAAATATACCCCTTAAAATATACTGTACACTGATAAAAAAAAATATACTGTACACTGATTAAAAAACTTAAAATATACTGTACAAAAACTGATATACTGTAAAAAAAAACTTCAAATATACTGATAAAAAAACCCCTTATATACTGTACACTGATAAAAAAACACCTGTACACTGATAAAAAAACATCAAATATACTGTACACTGATAAAAAAAACCCCTTAAAATATACTGTAACTGATATAAATATACTGTACACTGATAAAAAAACATTAAATATACTGTACACTGATAAAAAAACATGAAATATACTGTACACTGATAAAAATATACTGTACACTGATAAAAAAAACATGAAATATACTGTACACTGATAAAAAAAAACATTAAAATATACTGTACACTGATAAAAAAACATGAAATATACTGTACACTGATAAAAAAAAATATACTGTACACTTAAAATATACTGTACACTGATAAAAAAAAATATACTGTACACTTAAAATATACTGTACACTGATAAAAAAAAAAAAAAATATACCTGAAATATACTGTACACTGATAAAAACATGAAATAAAAACATGAAATATACTGTACACTGACAAAAACATGAAATATACTGTACACTGATAAAAAAAACTTCAAATATACTGTACACTGATTAAAAAACTTCAAATATACTGTACACTGATAAAAACATGAAATATACTGTACACTGACAAAAACATGAAATATACTGTACACTGATAAAAACATGAAATATACATGAAATATACTGTACACTGATAAAAAAAACACTTAAAAAAAACATATATACTGTACTGTACACTGATAAAAAAATGAAATATACTGTACACTGATAAAAAAAACATATATACTGTACACTGATAAAAAAAAACATGAAATATACTGTACAAAGATAAAAACATGAAATATACTGTACACTGATAAAAAAAAATGAAATATACTGTACACTGATAAAAAACATGAAACATACTGTACACTGATAAAAAAACATGAAATATACTGTACACTGATAAAAAAAAATATACTGAAATATACTGTACACTGATAAAAAAACATGAAATATACTGTACACTGATAAAAAAACATAAATATACTGTACACTGATAAAAAAACTTAAAATATACTGTACACTGATAAAAAAACTGTACAATATACTGTACACTGATAAAAAAAACTATATACTGTACACTGATAAAAAAAAAAAAAACTTCAAATATACTGTACACTGATAAAAACATGAAATATACTGTACACTGATAACATGAGTTACTGTACACTGATAAAAAAAAATACACACTGAAAAAAAAACATATACTGTACACTGATAAAAAAAACATTCAAATATACTGTACACTGATAAAAACATGAAATATACTGTACACTGATAAAAACATGAAATATACTGTACACTGATAAAAAAAATATATACTGTACACTGATAAAAAAAAACATGAAATATACTGTAAATGAAATATACT